TCTTCCCTCCAGGGGCTGGGTCCGCCCGTCAGAATCTCCTTATGCAGGGGGGAAATTTCCTCCCTCCATACCCACCTAGCCTCTTGGTCTCCCACTTTAGGGCCCTTTTCCTAAACAGGGACATTTTCTTCAACATACTTGAAGCCCTACCCCCAAACAACAGAACAAACTAACAACCAATCCTGAGCCCTCCCGCTCCCTACCGACTGTTTCCAAGCAAGGAAAACAAAATGAAACAAAACAAACAATTCCCGAGAGTCAGTTTCCTTGAGCCCTCCCGCTCCCAGCTCTTCACAGGAATTCCCTCTCAGACATGGCCCTCCCCTGTCCTGCACATCAGGCGTATAACCAAAGCCCACTCCCTGGGGTGACTATAAGCAAATGCAGACAGGGGTTCTTTCAGAAGACACTGTCTCCACAATTACCAATCACCAACCACCACAATCCATCTATAATCTCAGCTTTAGCCAATATTCTCCACCATGCAATGTTGGTGCAAAGCACCAACTCACAGGATCGTCATAAAATTTTAGTTTATTGGATGGATGCAAAAGTCAGAAAATAAATCTTGGTGCTGATCCCCTCAAACACACAAACATTCACGCACACACACACACACTCCCAGTAGCTAGCTATGAACACTAAGCACCGGTGTCAAGATATACCTATCCCCAAGCACTGGAGTCCAACATTGATGGAAGTCATGTTGCTTCAGAAGGGGGTCACCGGCGGGTCCTTCTGGTTGGACAGACAGGGTGCTGGTCAGGTCAAAGAGGGCACTATTGGGGGGTCATTCTTCATTGCCTTTTATCCCTCTCTGGCAGACTTGGTGACTCCCCAACTCTCAGGCTTACCCAATCCAGGGGTCATTGATACTCCAGCCACACTTTCACTATCAGTGTCTGACTCAGGCCCTCTCTCACAGACTGAGCATAGAGCTGTGTCTGAGAGAGCACAGGAGTCGGGATGTCACTCCTACCATGTGTTACAGAGCCACTTAGGGGGGAGAGCATCACAAACCAGCAGTGATTCATGCTTAAACCTTATGCTGTTTCACAATTTTGCCATGTAGCAGCAGCCTGTGTAATTCTCTGTGTATGCACGTGTGTACAGGCTGGGGGCTGACTGGCTGAGCAGCAGCTCTGCAGAAGAGGACCTGGAGGTTATAGTGGACAATAAGCTGTATATTATTCCTCTCTATTCAGCACTGGTCTGGAAGGATGTGGACAAATTGGAGAGGGAACAGCAGAGCACAACTAAAATGGTAAAGGGTCTCAGGATACGGTCTCCCACAATATTCTCACAGGCAAGCTAAAGAAGCACAGGTTGGATGAATGGACTGTAAAGTGGATAGAAAACTGGCTGGAGCCTGAGACTCAGAAAGTAGTAATCAATGGCTTAATGTCCAGATGGCAGCTGGAATCAAGTGGAGTGACACAGAGGTTGGTCCTGGGGCCAGTTTTGTTCAATGTCTTCATCAGTGACCTGGAAGATGGCATAGAGGACACCCTCATCAAGTTTGCAGATGACACCAAGCTGGGGGGAGTAGTAGACACGCTGGAGGGTAGGGATAGAATCCAGAGTGACATAGACAAATTGGAGGATTGGGCCAGAAGGAATCTCATGAGGCCCAACAAGGACAAGTGCAAAGTCCTGCACTGAGAAAAAACAAACTCATGCAGCAGCACAGCCAGGGGGTGACTGGCTGGGCAGCAGCTCTGCAGAAAAGGACCTTGGGGTTACAGGGGACAATAAGGTGAATATGAGTCAGCAGCGTGCCCTTGTTACCAAGAAGGCTAACAGCATACTGGGCTGCATCGGTAGGTGTGTTGCCAGTATGTCATTGCAGAGGCAGAGGGAGAAAATTTTATTTGGGGGGTGGGGGCACTGAGTAAAGCTAATACTTAAAATATATGTCTACACACACACACACACACACTCTCTCTCTCTGTCTCTCCAGCAGGTAAGTCTGTGAAGGGGAAGGGGTGTGCGGAGGGTAGATCAAGGCCCCCACGATGAGGGAGGGAGTTAGCAAGGGCAGAGGCTGGGGTGAATGGGGCCCTAAAGCCAGGGCAGGTTGTGGGAAGGTCAGAGCCTCAACGGCTCATCCCGAGGTGCTGGGGAGTTTCCGCTGCTGCGTGCACCCCAGGGGAATGGCAGAGGTGGGCTGCCACTGAGGGCTTTGGCCTCTGCACCCTGCAGCTACTGCCTTGGAGCCGCGCACAATGTCATATGTCTCCCACTTCTGGGCAGGCAAAGGATGCAGCACTGGTGCAGCCAGCATGTGGATGGCACGTGGCATTGTGCATGCCTCCAGGGTGCAGAGTCCAGCCCGCAGCAGCAGCCCACCTCTGCCCCTAGCAAAAATCCCAGGGGGCACATGCAGTCTTCTGTGCTGCCACCGCTGCCCCATTAGCCCTGGCCTCTGCTGCCTAAGGTTGAGGGAAGTGATTCTTCCCCTCTATTCAGCACTGGTGACTTGACATCTGGAGTACTGTGTTCAGTTTTGGGGCCCCCCCACTACAGAAAGGATGTGGACAAATTAGAGAGCCCAATGGAGGGCAACAAAAATGGTGTGGGGGCTGGGGGACATGACTGATGAGGAAAGACTGAGGGAACTGGGCTTATTTAGTCTAGAGAAGTGGAGACTGACAGGATTTAATAGCAGCCTTCAAGTATCTGAAGGGTGGCTCCAAAGAGGATGGAGATGGACTGTTCTCAGTGGTGGCAAAAGACAGAACAAGAAGCAATGGTCTCAAATTGCAGCAAGGGAAGCTGATGTTAGATATTAGGAAAAATTTTCTCACTAGCGGGGTAGTAAAACCATGGACCAGGTTACCCAGAGATTGGTGGAAACTCCATATTTGGAGGTTTTCAAAACCCGACTAGACAAAGCCTCGACTGGGTTTCTCTTTTGCCTTATGGTTATGTAGACTTGTCTTACACATGGACCTGATGAAAGTAAAATGGAGGAAGGCCTCTCCAGGCAGCAGTTGCAACACTTAGAAAGTAGGGCACTTGCTCAGGGAACAGAAGACCCACGTCTGACGAAACTATTCTGTCAAAGGGCATTGAATCTACATTTCTATGTTTTTTGCTTCCTGACAAAGTGTTTTAACCAATAGTTCACAGGCTAGACATCAGGCCAAGTCCTGTGCAGTCCTACTCTTAAAATGGACCTGCTGCACCTTGAATTTAGTGGACCTTTGCTAAATGGATTGAGAGCAGTGAGTAGGATACTGCCCTCTTGGGACCCTGACTAGAACCCAAAACTCTCGCTGTGGGCAGCACCTCTCTCACTGAGCCATGCACCTCTGCCTTGGCTGGAGCCTCCTGGCCCACTTATCTCCCTCTGCCTAACTGGTGGGCTGGTAGCTAGAGCACTTTTCTGAGATGCCGGCTCCAAACGTCTCTGTGTGTGGGGCTCCTTGAGATCAGATATTTTGCTTCTGGCCAAGTGCCCAACCACCAGGTTTTGGAGATAAAATACAGGTAGCCCCCACCCCTTCCTTTGGGATCTATCACATACTAGCTGTTAGTTTTTCTTAACTAAAATCTTGGGACTTTTCTGGGTGAGTGTATATTGACACAGACCTGCCCAACCAGAGGCAGCCTCACCAACTGTGTTCAGCAAGCACAGATTATATTGCATGCTGACATCTTAATCACAAACTGCATAAGTGCCTCAAACTGTACATGCCATTTAGGTGCATCAATTGAAATAGGTCTTAGCCACTAATACCTACCTGGAAGTTATGGTTGCACTGTAGTTAAACTAATTTGAGACAACTGGATTGAAAAAACGCCTTGTTACCCATATATAGACTGGACTTATGGTACTCAAAGAGCACATCTACATGTTCATTAATGTGCCCTAGTTACTGCACATAAAGTGTAACACTTGATTACTCAAGTACTAATTCAATGCGCAGTAACTCACACCTCTGCACAGTAGTGCCAGTGCATAGATTTTTAGTGAAGCTTACTGCGCAGTAGCGTATTAGCATGGTTTTTTACTCGCATGCTACTGCGCAGTGTTATGAGGCTACTGTACAGTAAATGTCTCATGTAGACACTCAGGCAGCCAAAAAATAATGCAGGGTTCCTCTTTATTACAATAAAGTTCTCCTGAAGTGTCAGTGGATACAGGTTTGGGAGTCTGTGTAAGGGAATGCAGTGACTGTTGGCCACAGCACGAATGGGCGATAGTGAACAGCTTCTTCAGGTCTTCTGTATTCGACCCATTCAACACAGGTGACTGGGAGGGTTCACTGGCCAAAGAGCCAAATGCAAAGAGAAAAAGTCTTGACTTCCTGCTCTACTCTCCTACTTCAGCATCTCATTGATGAACTTGGTCCTCTTGTTGCAGAACAGCTTCTGCCTTCTGGAGGGTGGATTTCACCTCATCTCCCTGCCCTGGAGATGGAAGGCAACCTGTCCATCTTTGGCAGTCAGCAGTGGTGGCAGTCCATAATTACTCTTTGGCAAGGAGAAACTCTTCCAAAGTTTATGAGAATAATGCTCCAGTCACTACGGCGCATCAACGTTTGTCTCGATAAATTATACTTATGAATGCATTAACATCACAGATGGAAATGCTGGTGAGCAATGACTCTGGGTTCGGAAGGACTGGCTGCACCCTCAGCTGTGTAGAAACCTTCCCTCGCTCTTTGGGATGAATAACATCCCAGCTGCTGTAGCTGGGCAGCTTTGTGCTCAGGGCAGCTGTGGTGCACGGGGCAGCACAGGGTGCTGTTGTGCCAAGTGTGGCAGCAGTCAGCTGCTACTGCAGTGGTGGCTGTTTTTGTGCTGTCCCCGCACCCCAAGGCATCCAGGTCTGCTGTCCCAGTCACCCCCTTACTCCCAGTTATATTGCTGACAACGATGCACTCAAATGCCAAAAAACCCAAAACAACCACATGCTTTAATAACAAGCAAGAAATAACGCTCT